ATTATTTAATTTTAAATTTCATTTTTATTTTTATTAATAGTTTTTTATAAACAATATTCTTTTCGTTAATTGAATTTCATTAATTCTTGTTATTGTAATTTTGAAAATTTATTTAATTTTTAATTTTCATATTTAATTTTATTAATTATTTTTTAGAAATAATATTCTTTTCGTTCATTGAATTTAATTAATTTTTATAATAGTAATTTTTAATAATTATTTAATTTTAAATTTAAATTTCATATTTAATTTTTGATTGTTTTTTATAAATAATATTCTTTTCATTCTTGAATTTAATTAATTTTTATATTGTAATAATTCTTTTAATTTTAAATTTATATTTCATATTTAGTTTTATTAATATTTTTTTTATAAATAATATTCTTTTTGTTAATCAAATTTCATTAATTTTTGTCATTCTAATTTTGAATAATTATTTAATTTTAAATTTCGTTTTTTTACTAATAGTTTTTTATAAATAATATTCTTTTCGTTAATCGAATTTCATTAATTCTTGTCATTGTAATTTTGAATAATTATTTAATTTAAATTTCACATTTATTTTTATTAATTATTTTTTATAAATAATATTATTTTCATTTATCGAATTTAATTAATTTTTGTAATTGTAATTTTTAATAATTATTTAATTTTAAATTTAAATTTCATATTTATTTTTATTAATTATTTTTTATAAATAATATTCTTTTCGCTCATCGAATTTAATTAATTTTTGTAATTATAATTATTATTAATTATTTAATTTTAAATTTAAATTTTACATTTATTTTTATTAATTGTTTTTGATAAATAATATTCTTTTCGTTCATCGAATTTAATTAATTTTTGTAATTGTAATTTTTAATAATTATTTAATTTTAAATTTAAATTTCGCATTTATTTTTATTAATAGTTTTGATAAATAATATTCTTTTCGTTCATCAAATTTAATTAATTTTTATAATTGTAATTTTAAATAATTCTTTAAATTTTAATGTTAATTTTAATATTTATTATCGTTTTTTGATATTAAGGAAAAAAATTGACATTATTGAGAATAGGGTAAACATTTCACAGTATTAATGATTTTAATTACTATGACTCTATGTGTTCCGAATTGTAATTACAATTTCGTTCGCTTAATTTTCTATTATTATATTTATTCTATTATCTCTTGTACAATGTTCTAACACTTTGAATTTTGAGAGGGATGGATTATCATATCGACGTGAGTTGAGACAGATGCCAGGCAAAGCTACGTGGAATAGTAGCTTTGACAGTTTCACTATGGTGTTAGAGCTGCTTGATGATCAACATGCTGATATGTTGCGCCAGTCCCTCCTGTGGCCCTTGTACTTGTTGAGAGATTTGAAGTACTCGGGTCAGATTATTGATGGACTTCCATGTCGATTGCTGAGTCTAGTTGATGGCAATGCCCTCCACTTTGCAATCGGGGGCAAAGTTACCAGTTTTTCGATGTTCAAGTTTTCCCTAATCACAGGATTAAAGAGGTGGCGAGCCTCGAGGTGGAGGAAGTGATGGTAGCCGGGGCGTAGAAGGAGGCAAGCCTCGAGATGGAGGAGGTGGAGAGCCCCGATGTGGAGGAGGTGACGATAGCCGGGGTGGAGGAGGTGACGGTGGTCGAGGCGGAGGAGGAGAGGACGGCCGTCGTGATTGAGGCAAACAAGCGTTCTGTTAACGTGCCGAGAGTGCCGTCATAGTACGACGTCTCTCCCTTCACCACTGAGACGAAGAGGAGGAGGTTCGTCGATGGGACGTATCCCAATATGTTTCGGGAGGTCGACCATGCCAAATAGAAAGCATTCGAGGCTCAGTGGCGAGCAATGTTACCGGGTAAGTATTGTATAATTTAGTAGAGTAGCAATACTCATATAAGTTTCGTTTAACATTTTCTTTTTTTTCAACACCACCCGTATGATAGCCGGAAGAACGATATCGGACGCATACAAGTGGTTCCATGATATCACCACTCAGGGGGCTTAGCTCACCGACGATGTAAGTGAAATATTATTGTTACTGTTTGTACACATTACGTTTAATTTGTTAAATGAAATAATTATTTATTTCTTTTTCATTTATGTAGCACATCGATATGGCTATGGACTTATTGTACGATCGAGTTGAAAGATATCCACAATCATTCTACAAGCCTGACCGAATAATACTGAACACCGAGTTCTTCCGTGCCGTTACCATTGAGTATCAGTCGCTCCAGCTTATGGGTAACGAGTACGTGCTGCCCGCATATATACTCGAGTGGGTCATCGGGTTGTCACCGACTGTTGGGGGGAAGCTGTGGGAGGGCTGTACACATATATACATTCTAGTGATCGTCAATCATCACTGCATTACACTGGAGATCGTGTTTCTAAGTCGACGATATATGTATATAACCCCGATCATTCATGTCTGACATAGGGGCAGCTCAAGCAAAACTTAGAGTCGGTGACTGTGATCGTTCCTACGATGACTAGACGGGCGAGCTTGACTATGTAGGACAGACTAGTCATCATGCGGGATAAGACGACGACTAAACAGTCTATATCGTAAGTGTTTGTAATCTTTTTTTAAAATTAAATTGGAACCAAACTAACACAGTATTGTTCATTTGCAAGGGCGACTATGGCATTTTCATAATCAAGTACATAGATGGATACAAAATTTGCAGAATAAGTTAGTCTACGACTTATTCGAATTTAATTGTGATCCATAGATTATTTATAAATATTTTTTTGTAATTAATCTTTGTAAAACTTTTTTGTAATTAATTATTTGTAACTGTTCTTCGTAATTATTTGTGATCTCGAATAAACATTGAACAGTGTAAAAGTAAACGAAAATATTATACATTGAACACATTAGTTTAATTGTCATTTAGGGAAATTTATCTGGTACAAAATTGGCGAGTATGCCCTATGACTCTGCACCTGCCGCACTTACGCGGTTTAGGAAACTCTCCAGTAGATGGCATTCTAGATGTACTTGAACGTCCAGGACCACGCGGTTCAACTGCTGGTGGCAACAAACTATTGAACGAGAGAATATGGTCAGGAACTTCTCACTCGGATTCATTCGACAGAGGAAATATAGTGTCAGCATATGCCGCTCTCCATGACTCAGCCGTGTAGTACAAAGAGCATAATATTCTCGCTGCAAAACCTCGATACATGGCCACTGTGACTGCATGCTCACATGGAAATTCTCCAACTGAAATCTCGTATAAGTGCATGTGTTATCTGTCAAATCAACCATGTATGTTGTATTACGTGCACATTGCACGGAGAAGCGAAACTCATCAAGTGCTTCCACATTCAACTTTCTCGCAACATCTGCAGCCATGAAGAGTTTCTCCTCTTGAGCTAGAGCTAGCACACTGGTACAACTCTGTGATGCCACACGTTGGTCATGAAACCACTGTTGCAACTTGTTACGAATGTTCTCAATCATTGCGAGAATTGGTAACTCTCGATCCTTCTTAAACAATGCATTGAGAGACTCCGCGTTATTCAACGTCATCATGTTGTATCGACGTCCTGAAAATTATGACTGCGCCCAATGTCTAATCCCCATGTTCTTTAGATACTCCCACGCCGCTAATGATTTACTTCCTATCTCGACCATGAACTGATTACATTCCTTAACATTGTAAGCTTCGGCTGCTCTCCTAAACAATGAAACGATACCTTTACCCCGATACCTAGTCTTCAAATTGCCTTGTATATGGTACATGCAATACCCGTGATGTGCCTCGAAAAAAACTTCAGCAATACCGTTTATTATAGATTGTCCCCGATCAGTTACAAAGGCAAGGTCTTCGACTTCCCCGATCACTTCCCTCAGTTTAGAAAAGAACCAACGCATTGACAGATCATTCTCGTTGTCGACTATGCCAAATACAAGAGGGTAAATTTGGATGTTGGTGTCTTGACATGTAGCAATAATCAACTTGCCTTGATATCTAGCTTTCAGAGTTGTACCATCGACTAGAATTACGGGTCGCATTGCATTTTGAAAACCCTGAATACATTGTCCGAAAGCCATGCAGAAATATTTAAAACAATCACCGCCCCCCGTCTCAATAAAAAATGTCGAGTCAGGATTAGTTATCACCATGTTATGGCAATACCTGCCCAATTTAGCATAACTTTCCTCGGCTGATCCCATTAAATTCTCAAACGCACATTCTTTGGCCTTCCAGGCCTTCTGCTAGCTCATGACCACTCCATACTCTCGACGAATGTCGTTGATGATGTCCGAAGGTCGGTAGATCATCTGTGAATCCCGATACTTGTGCATTATTTGTCGACCAATAAACCATACTCGAGCTTGCCTGTGATCATTTCGACAAATTCTCACTTTGCAAGTATGTTCCCGTGCATATTTGCGAACTATAAAGTACTCATTCAAATCCATCTTAGTCGCTCTCAAGCGTCAATTGCAATTGTCGTCAACGCAAGCAATTGTCAACAATGACTTGGTTAATTTCTTTACCTTGAACTCAAAGTTATATTTTAATGTCATCTGGTGCACAGCTTCCTGCAAATCTTTCTTGATTTCAAATAGTTGCTCGACATACAAATTCTCATCATCGGGAACCACACGTGAAGAATTGGAGAACGGTTCACTTGTTCCACCCCCTGAGCTCCCACCCCACTCAGGTCTCTGTTGGGATAAAGCAATTAAATTTTCATTTGTAAAATCATTTATATTCTCGTTGTCCTCAACTGTCGATGGAATTCTATGCGTAATAGTGACTTCACGATCAGTAGCAACTATCTTGGGAATAACTACATCATTTGCAGGAACTATCTCCACTGTCTTCCAAAAATCTCGATCATTATTATCCGCTCCATCTGAATCTTCGCGTTTACCTTCGACAATATCCTTTTTAACTAAAGTTACGCCAAGAACAGTCAGAGTCCTATGCATTTTATTCAATTCTAATAGATAATTCAATTCATCATCATTAGTAACAAATATAGATGAAATCGGAATGGACGAATCCCCATAACCATTGAATAAATATCTCAGTTGTATATTGTACTGAGAAGAATCGACATTCAACTTATTTTGCAAATCCCGATACACTTCTGCATATGATATACTCTCTGTTACGGGAATTGCAATACAACCACATACATCACTCGTCCATCTTCATTCCCATTTATTATTTTCATTTAGTTCGAAATCACCGAAATAACAGACCGGGATTATCATATCTGCATGACAATATAGAATTGTTAAATCAATTACAATAATAAAAATTCAGATATTTATTTATTTAATCAACTTGTAATTAAAATTATAAGACAATTGCCAAAACAGAAATTAATAATAAAAAAAATTCGTAAAACAGTCGAGAAAAACAACCGACTGTGGACTATTTTACAGCCGTCAATTAGCTTTTAATTAGAAACAGTCGTTTGTTGCTGTTAGACAGTCGTCTAAAAGCCGAATGTCGACTGTTAGACAGTCTTATGACAGTCGACTGACTAACAGTCTTCGTTAACATCCTACAGTTGATTGTCGGATTGTTTATTTTGCGTAAGACTTTATTTTTCTATGGTTCTAAAGAAAAAAAATTATAGATCTATTAAAAAAATTCTATAAACTACTGTGTTATTTAACTACTCAAACGTACACTAATTTATTGAAATCGAAATTAAGCACGTGTAAATATACTTACCGATTTGAAATAATTGATCTGAAAAAAATTATGACTTCGACGTTTGAAAGTTTTTTGATATTTTGAAGTTTAAACAGATGAAAAATGATAGCTTTTCTATGTTCGAAACTCGTTTTGCAGTTTCATAAGTGGGGAAGTGTTTGATTTTCAATTATTAACTAAAAGGGTAATAATGTATTTTAAATTATCCAATATTTTGTAATTATATAATATATTTAAGGACATTTTTGTCTTTTACCATTTAAGAGGTTAATGTGATAATTTTCAAGTTTTTAAAACTCAAAATGAAAATAAGAACATTTAACTAGGTCAATTTTAAAAGTACCTCCATTTTTGCCATCTTCGTGCTTCATAAATAGCTACACTAAGGTTTTTCCTGAGAAGTGAAATAACCAATTAAGTTTAAAATTCTATTGAGAAAAGTGTGAAACAAAATGATTAAAGTAATTGAACAGTACGCTCCATGCTGAGTGAGGCCTCAAAAAATTTCAACAAAATATAGTTTTGGAGACAGACTTTTTACGATGAACAGAAGTACACCAACATCAAAAAGGTATTTTGCGATGTGCTTTTTACGATCACAATAAGCAATAAAGACTTCAATGAAAATTATAGAGAACATTTTCGGTCTGATTTTGCAAGGGAGATGATGATTTGGCAACCGAGTACATATATTTATAGATAAATCAAAGCATTAGATATATTACAAGATGAATCAAAGCAGCATCACCTGCGAGCTTGTTCACTTGTTGAACTTTAGAGGCATGCTTAGTGATGAACACGTTAAGCCTACAGAAAACTATGGTTACGAAATGTTCTTAAATCTTCACATGAGATAAATGGGGATGAATTTTGCTAATGAATTATTCCATGGGTACATAATATTGTACATGAGGGTGTCCAATTATTCTATGGGTACATAATATTGTACATGAGGGTGTCCAAAACGGCCCCCTACTGGAGGGGTGTCTCCAATAGGGAGCCGCCAATGGACACCCTTATGTACCCCCTAATGTACCCATAGAATAACCCTTTGCTAATTGTACATTAAAATTGTACATAAGGATTTACATAATATGATATGGATGAAAAGATTGGTTGAAAAAGTTGACGGTGTCTTAAACTAACAAATGACAAAATGTGATGCAACATTATGTAAATTATTATGTAATCTTTGATGTATATGTAGCAAGATCCAATGGGGATATCCGTCAAAGTAAAACCAAGTTGGGAATGAAAACCACAAACGGTAAATTCACATTGAGTCTAACTTCTAAAGTATAGGTGAATATCCATAAGAAACATCCACCCTGCCTCCCCAATATGACCAATATATCCAATTACTTTGGAATGGAAATTAAAACTATCATAATATCTAAAGGAAAAGTCAAACAGATACCGAAATACTGTAAATGAGTGTTCACATTCTCGAGGGTACAGAGACGGGTAAAAGCTTATGATGATTAGAGCATAAATCCAAAATCCAAGTTACTTTTTTGGGCTTGCCCGAGGTCCTAAGCCCATGTAGTTTGTCACCAATCCCATAATGCCGAACCTGGTTCCAGAAATATAACAATGGCAAGCATTACAATTTACAAAGCGTGCACAAGGAGAACAGATGAAAAATAAAGCAAGCTTCAAGTCTTTACTGCAGGGTCAATAATCAGACATGTATCTACCCTTCGACCAAAAAAGACACAAGATCAAATACGTTATTACTGAACCTACAGTAAGCATTTGGCTTTAAATTTATTTTTTAAGTAATTGCTTAAATCCTCACTGATTGAAACAAGATGATGTCAAAATAATAAGTTGTGTCACCTTGCACAAGCATCCAGTGTACATCTAATATAAATGCAGGTAATGAGATGGTAAGTGCTTTGCCAAGTGTATCATCTAAACACAGAATGCAGTCATGAACTCACATAAACACGTATGTTCATCTCCTTTCATTTATGAAAATTATCAAATTTCAATTTTCCGAAGGCAACAACAGATTCTCTAGTTTATTCCAACAAATCAACCCCAAGAAAAAAAAATATAGAGACACAACAATAAGAAAAATATATAGAAAAAGGGAAAGTACAGTAAAAGTCACGCATCGACGGTCTCCTGCCACCAAAAATTTGCTACTTTTCATAGGGGGGTCGCAATGAGTAAAGGGCTAGGGATTGCAACACTTGTTCGTTCTCTAAATTTGTTTGGTTTTGTTTAACCAATAAATACTCTTCATATGTTTTGAGCCAAGGAAAAAACAAGCCATAAAGCTGAGGTTGGCAAAAGATTAAGGTATCGAACCTAACAAAATGGAAGATCCAAATCTTGTTGCACTTAGTCAGCTAGTTGAGGAACAAATATTATTTCTTAGAATGTATGGTTGAAAATGAAGCCTGACCAACTTATAAATCATTAATAAATTTTCCAAATGGGCTTAGCCTCTGTGAATTGATGAGCTATGAATACAGTAGATTAGCTATGTAGAACACGTCCAGAAGAATTTACATAAAGTAACTATGTTGGGATCTCATGTATATTTGAGATAGAGAGGATGCATTCATGGCTTCAAGTGATGATCAAGAGCCTAAACCGCTAGTAAGAAATCGATGGAAGTACGAGAAGAGAGCTCTACACCCATCTGTAAGACGATCGGGAAATTGTACATCAGATCTAACTCAAGGCTGATAGATCTAGTAGTAAGTATCTAATGAGCACCGATTCTTAACTTATGTTAAGTAACGATACTTAGCTTATGTTAAGCAACGATGACATAGCATATCACTAATTGGTGAATAAATTAATGGTTGGTCCCATGAATTTAATTGTTTACCAATCAATTGGTGTGCCATGTCACCGGTGCTTTAGGAGATCATTTCTAATAATCATTTCTAATAGGTATAAAGCCCATCTTATTGCCAAGGGTTCTGCAAAAATGAGGGAATTGATTATGAGGAAGCCTCAGTGCCAGTAATCAGGTTTGCCTTGATTCGCCGCATTCTAAAAATTGTTGAAGATATGGATCCAGAATGCACCAAATGGAAGTTAGCATTTAATTTCCTAAAGAGGATTTGGAAGAAGAGATATATATGTGTGAGTGTGAGTGTGAGTGTGAGTGGAGTGACAGACAGATATGCACAGTATGCAAGCGCAAACAGACAATATATGTTCACAAACTCGAATATTTATAATGGTATCTCAGATTTCCTTGGATCTTTGATCCATCTTTTTGTGATTCTAGTACTTTATGTAGATGACATATTTACTAAAAACAATAGAAAGTTTATTGCCAGTAACAAGCAGTTAATTTAAGCAAAAGCCTCAAGAAACTTTTAGTAATAAAACTGCCTGAAAGATACTATGCCCAAGAATACGCCCATGACAGCCCCGTTGAAAAGACATTTATCTGAATGCTCAATATGGGACTTCGCCAAGTCACCATTAAATTTATAATACATTTTTCTCGCAATTTTTTTTTAACCACACATTATCCAATAAAATAATATGACACATAAACGAAAAACTTTTCTTTCTTTTTCAACCACACATTCACCAAAAAGCACTATTCCAAAAATCATAACATCAAACAATTGGGGCCAAACGGGGGCTAGATCTTAATTTCAGCTTTGTCAAGCCTGATGCACGCATGATGCAGTATAAGCATTTATTTGTGTAGTATTCCCGAAAATAAAAAAGAAAAATCCACTCCTCCATCATTAATCCAGCACCTCCAAATGCAAAAAAGGCTCTAAAATTCTCAACTGTTAAAGCTACAAAGCATTGGATCATACTTGTTAAAGTGCAAATCCGGGGGGGAAGGGGGAAGGGTTTCCCGAACTGTCTAGGGGTCATAAAATTGCGTATCTGCGTGTATTTACATGTGTAAAAGTGTAAACTATTCCTTGAAAAGTTGAAACTTACATCATGGCCATGGAGATTTGCTTGAGGTCATTCTCAACATTCCTCATATTAGCAAGCGATTGTGCACAGAATATAATAGCGAGCCACGAGCACAGCTTGTACTGAATAAATCAATAATCGATCAATAAATTATACTTCAAAAACCAGATCTATCATCATAACGCATTTACCAGCTCGTGAAATTCATGCTTCAATGAACAATTTAAACCTAAACAATCATTACAACATCCGCACAAGTTTCCGGAGTATGTATCTACACTTTTATGTAAGCCAATCAACCGATTAAAAGTTTAAAATAGATCGGAGATTAAGAGAGCATGCGAACCCGGAACATGGCTCCAAAAACACCGAATACGACAGCGATGAATCCGGAGTAATCTACGGGGAGGTCTTGCGGGGCTACGACTGACGGCTTGTATGGCCGCGCGGCCGATGGTTGCCTTGGATCGTTCGACTGCGACGCCATCTCTCTGTCTCTCTCTCTCTCTCTCTCTCTTCCTTCCGAGAGCTAACTGTAAATTGCACAGTCAGCCCCAGAATATAATTGAAATTGAGGAAAATAGTCGACGAGGTCTCAATTCTTCGATCATCATTACACTTTGATCCTCAACGTTTGGAAAAGATCAAAAATCCTCATTTCCTATCTTTTCATAACTAACTAAGTTCTCATATCATTTTAAATCACACATTTACTCAATAAAATATTTTACACGTAAATTCAAAATTTTTACATACTTTTTACTTATTCATTTTCCAAAAAATTACTATTCAAAATATTATTTTACGTTTATTTCTATTTATAATGTCTACAAAGAGGAGCTAAATTTTGTTTGACAGTTTTTAGCCTTATGTTTAAATTAGTTAAAATAAAATAAAATAAAATTGAAACATGAAAAGGATGTCTACATTGACGCCACAATTTGTTTTAGTTATACCACTTTTTAATTGCATTAAAATCTTCAATTGCTTATTATCTCACTTGCGTCCACACTTTTTTTTCCCAAATTCTTATTTTCAATCCTTTGTTAAACGGTACATATGGTTCTGAGCATCTTCGAGAGACTGTTTAAATATGAGATGCTCTCTATTTTAAATAGTTAATCTTAAAAATTATGTAAACAAGAGATTCTTTAAATTAATATTTTAATTTAGAGAGTGGGTTTTAGAGGATTAAAAAGTGGAAATTGCACAAGACGCCCTAATTAAGATATTAATTCCAATATTACATTTCCACATTTTTCACACCAAAAATACTAACATTTTAGAAGTAAAAATTAAAAAGAGAAGTCAATATATGCTTCCCTAATTTAAGCTCAAACGATAAGACCACCACATCTTTTCAAAGACTTTCCTTAATCAAAATCCCCTTTTTCCAAGCCTTTAATTTTTTCTGTGATTCATTCAAGTTTCCTTCGATCGCATGTGGATTCCATTTTCAATTGTCATCTTGCGAGAAATTCTAATCCCTAAAGCCAAGATTAAACATCTTGTGTTCTATATTGTATTTCATCTTCAAACATATAATTTATAAATCAGCCTTCATCTGCAAAAGAGTTCAAAGAAGATTAGTAACATTAGATTTAACTTTGAATTCAAATAAGAAAACAACTTATCACTGAAAATCCTTAATTTTCTCAAATTTTATTGGATTATTTTTTTTTAATAAGAATTTATTACAATGCATCACATTCTATTGATGGCTACGTGAACTGCATTTCTCTAAAATCCTAATGTTTGCTAGAATTTATATTTTGTACGTAAGCTGTATTTGTCCTGTAAACTTGGATCTTTTGAAATTTTAATTTATCATAATTTGTATCTATTGTTCTGTATAATGAGATGTTATGAAATTAAAATGTGTTATTCTTTACTTTTGTTTATCAACGAATATCTATTGAAGATTGTTTCAAGTATAATATTTATTACTCCTATAACATTATTTGTTTAATTGTATTTTTGTTGCAAAGTTAGTAACAAATATAGGAATAGCTTTTATTTGATACGTTACTTTTTTCATATAACAGCGTATTAGATTTTTTTTTTTCATGAAATTAATTACATGTTGTGTAGTAGTAAGCATTTTAGTGTCATATATAATATGTCACATTGCTATTGTATTTTTATTTATTTATTTATTTATTTTATCATTGGTGAGTAGGTTTAAAGTATCATGGTATGTTATCATTCTCATTGTGTGAACTTAATTCTTTTGCTAATCAGGTTACATATCAAAACATGTTTAAATATTAGTTTTTGTAACAAATGCATTTTTAGTACATGGGATGTTTGTATTTTATTCATATATTGTGGTTTCAGTTTATCACATGATATATTTTAATTTTTTTATGAGTTTTCCATCAACTAAGTTATTTTAAATGGAGATCTGAGATGAAATTTATGATAGAACCAAAACAAAATGTTCACAGAGAATAATTGAGTTTACACTGAAGAGTGGCACTGTATTTATGCCATTTTCCCACTCTAAGAGCTTGCCTATGCAACTCAAATTTAAGGTTGCCTCTGTATCTTGCAAGACAACCTTACCATCAGCAAAAATGGCAGCTATCGACTTTCACAGAGTGCTCTCTGTTAATGCAAGCCGGACAAAATCAAGAAAGCTTACAGGAAAATGTCACTTCTTTATCATCCCAATGTTTGTGATCCGTCTATGGCTGAAGAATCGACTTGGATTTTTGTCTATTTACACAAGGCTTGTGAAAATTTGCTGGATGAAGATTCTAAATGCACAGAGGAAAGAAGTAGAGAAGCATCAAGAGATAAATGGGAAATTCAGATTTTAAAATTGAAAAGAAGATCCCAGAAGGAGGGGAGTTGGGCTTCCAGAATGAGAGCAACAAACCAATATGCTTGAAAATTACACCACTCTACCATTTCTTAATATTTTTATTGATATTTATTCGTTATTTTAGAACATTTAATGGAAAAGAGAGAAAATGTAGTCATTCACTTGCAATTGCAAACAGATATGTAGTGAAATTTATTATTTTTCAGTGTTACTCGCGTAAGTACGAAACTAGTTGCCAATGCAGGATTAACTGAATATGTTGGACAATACTTCTTCCGAAATATCTTCTCCACTTATTTGTCCATGCGCCAAAGTAGCTTCTCGTAGGTCAATTGTCCAAAAGTCGTGTTAAGATTTATGTTGTATTGCCAATTCTTTAGACAAATTGACTAATATGAAAAGTTTTAAAAGTCAAGAAGTCAGTTGGAATATTGTATAGATAAAATAGGTATCTTAGGGTTCGAGTTTGGAATAAGGAGGAAGAAGGAGTCACCGAATTTACGCTAGCTTAATAGCCCATTTGATGTTCGAGTGGAAAAAACAGTAACCTTGTCGCCTGCCTGTCTTTGAGGCATCGCTTGAGCGATGCACCAGTCGTTCGCCTATTGTTGGCTTGGAGCTCGAGCGACGGTGTTATGCGAAAAATCCTAGTTCGCATTGTTCAACAGTTTTATTCGGCCCATGCTATCTAAATGCCTTCTACCATGGATTGCAAATGATCATTCACGCTTATATTCGCACACTCAATATACATAAATACAATAACATTAGTAAATAAAAATAATATTTAATTTTATAAAATCGTCATTTCATTACAGCAAAATTATACATAAACTTTTGTTGTTAAAAATAAGATTATAGATATATATATTTCATCTCTAACAAGAAAAGCACTTCAGCATCTACAATGTCAACGTAGATTGCTTAAAAATAAATCACATAAGTAAAATAGATTGTGTCTAAAACCATTCCTCTCTAATGCTAGCTGTTAGGAAGTCCGACACAGACATGGTAGAGAAAAAAATTAAATAATGTCTAGAGCTTCGTCTAAGCTCAAAAACTTTGCCTAACGGATTGACTTAGCAAAATTTAAATTTTTTAAACTCCAAATTTATGCTGTTTAAGAAAAAGAGACACCTAGATAGCACTCCATAAAATACATCGGAGACCAATTTTCGACTTGAATGTCTATGTAGGCCAAAAGCTTCAACTTCTATCCCACCTAAATAACACTCCATAAAATGTATTGAATGAAGACTTAGCATCCATGTTCTAACTATCAACTTTCGAGAAGTAAATGTAGTGTAATTTAGATGGACTAATGTTATCTAACACTACTAATACTTGAACGACAATTTATGTGGAAAAATATGTTTAGTCCAATTAGGTGAATTTCATGTTCTTACATTCAATTAAATTTTATTGGACATATTACACTATGTGAAAATTACATCCCATCCTATTTTTAAAGATCATTAGTCTAAAAACAATGAGAAAGTTTCATTATTCACAAATCAAATATTACATATTTAAATATTAAATATACAATTTTCATCCAAAACCCTAATTATTTTTCGGGGATATGAGTTGGGAAGGCTGCTTTCAAGTGGTTTTTGTTTAAAAGGCCTTTGACCAGAATTTTGAAAATAACATAAAATATAAATATGCAAATATTTAAAAAGACAATTATAACCTTCCATTATTTCTCCCCAAACGAAAGAAGAAAGAACCCAATACTTCCCAAATTAGAGGTCTGAAGAATCAAAACACTGTCTTTTTCCACTTTTGAGGCTCGCCGTCGATCACTCTCTATCTCTGTTCTCGGAAATTTGAAACTCGTTGGACCACCTTCAGGTAATGTGTATCGCGCAGCTGAATGTATTTTGTTTGTTTCTCCACCTCCGATTTTGTAGTAGAAGTTTGTTTCCCCACCCCCTTCTCAGATTTAGGAAGCCAAAACTTCTGTTTCTCAGATTTAGGAAGTCAAAACTTCTGTATTATATATGGAATGGTCTTTACGTACCTGTAGCCAAATCTTTTGAGCGATTAATCTACATTATGATAGTTTTATGGCACAAAATTGACAATATTCGGCCTCAGGTGTGCTTGTAAAGGTTATGTTCTGATTTCCTCTTTTTGTAAGAGAGAAAAATCATAATGTTTTGTGAAAAGAAAAAAATGATGGTTCTATTTCCCACTGTTTTAATGTTCATTTCATCTGCGTTATTATGATTCACCTAAGCACCTAGCAATAAGTACTTTGTAATTTATCTGCTGATTGGATTAAAAGTCTCACATATTTGATTTCCTATTGGTAGATTTGCTTCTGCATTTGTTTGCTACATACTAGAGGAGTAGTTTCTTGAAAAATTTAATGGTGGTGATGGCTACATATATGTGATTTGCAAGGCTAAAACTAACTGTTTCTTTCTTGCAATGAAAAGTTTGAGCTTCTCAATTTCAATTTTGTCTTGATAGTTTAAAGTTTGATTTATTTCCAGCCTTTGCTTGTAAAAGAGATCATTCTTGATTCTTTAATAGCATCGCCCATGAACTCTTTTATGAGTTTTGGATTAATGGTTATTTTGTTTCCATCATTCTTTTGTTTCTTATTTTTGTTTGGGTTATTAGCTATTTCTTCGACATTTAACTCTTTTTCTTCAAGTCCAAAGTCATCTCTTTTCATTCTTCCAGGAAAGATCGAATAATTTGTAGAAAGTTTACCAAATGTTTAAAAGAAAAAATGACTTCTTTATGTTAGGTTTAAATGATCTAGAAAATGAAAAATGCTGAATTTGTAAACAAATTACTATACTAAGGTGAGGCATTTAACTATAAAACCACCGCATGCACAATTTATAATACATTGTACTTACAAGTTCTATAAAGCACATAAGCTAAGAACGCCTAATAAGTGAATATCAAATAAAATATACTTTGTTGTTAGCAATGATAATACCTGCTATTAAATTTCATATTCAAAAAAATTCTACTAGAAGAACTAGGTAGCTTGTTTTAATATTTCTAGTTTTTTTATTTGTTATTATGTGCTTTACTATCATCAGTTCTAATATTAGTACATATTTTATAATTTGCGGTGCTATGGAGAAGATTCTTCAAGTAGATGCTACGATTACGACGAGATGCAGATTGCAAATAATGCGAGATGTGTATGAGAAGCTCAATACAAATTACAAAAACAAGCTTAGTGAAAGCTGCTTTGGATCTCTCCTTAGGTTGAAGGACATAAAGTTGGCTTCACAAGTTATACATCAGGTATTATTGCAAAAGATAAGGACCAACAAAAAAGAAGTTTGGTTTAAGATAGGAGAGAAAAATGCAAAATTTGGGTTGGAAGAATTTATTTTAGTTACGGGCTTAAATGCGGGTGATGATAACGATGTAGATAAGACCTTGGGGAAAGAGTGTCGGATCGTGAAAGAGTATTTTAAGAATAGTGGGGGGAAGATAACGAGGGGAGATGTAAGTTAGGATTGATCGTAATCTTGGCATACGTCCTGTAGGCTACGGAGGAGAATACATACATCGATTTATGGTGGCTAGACTTGGTGGACGATCTTGATAGGTTCGAGACGTATCCATGAGGATAGTTTTCATTTGAATACATGATCAGTATATTCAAACATGAGATGGGAGATAAATTGAAAAGTTCGGACGTCGGAGGCGAATCACGTTGCCGATATTCATTGCACGCCTTTCCCCTCGCTATAATGGTATGAACAAATAATACACTTGACTCGTATTTTTTTTTATATATATATAAATTTGTGTTGTGAGATAATATAAATGTTTGTTTTGCAATAGATCTGGGCATTTGAAGCGATCCCAACTTTGGGAATGAAGTTTGGTATGAAATATCCATACGTAATACCAAGAATGGTCACTTGGGAAATGCCAAAGAGGTTAATGTCTGCTACTATTGAGAAAGTTTTGAATTCGAAGGAGGTAAGATTGTCTTTATTAAGTTTAATGGGAACAAATTGTGGAATTAGCTTCATGAATGGCTAATGACTTCCACCTTTTAATATTTGTAGTTGGAGGTTAATTCCACATTGATTCCCACCGAAGCTGAACTCGAAGAGGCCTATTGGAAAGAGTTATAACCAATCGTGGAAGAAGATGAGAGTGTTTCACATCATTCCGAAGGAGACGAGGCTAAGCAAAATGTCGAGCCACAGCATGCATACCACGAAGAGTCTCCTAGAGCAGCTCAACCACCACAGTGTGGTTTTGAGATCAACATAGAGGATTTATTGAGAACGGAAATTGAAAAACTTGAGGGAATGCTACAAGCAGTTATATCGACTCAACTTGATCGGGTGGAAAAAAAGGTTAACAGGTTAGTTGAATTGGCTGTGGCGGGTCAGTTCCATCTAGCAACTAGTGCATTTGATGGTGCCACTAGTAGCACAACTTATGTACCAGAAAATGAACCGAAGGATGGGTTGGAAAAGGAGGTTGGATTTGATGATGTGATAGACGTGCATGCTGCTGAAAGAAAGGTAGATCTGCCTGAAGAGGATTTAAAGTTAGAGGAGGAGGAGGAGGTTAGAGGAAAAAATGTAGGAGGAAAGGAGTTGGAAACTGAGCCTGGATTTGATGATGTGAGAGATGTGCCTGCCGCTGAAGCAAATGTAGAAGCGCGTGAGGAGGACCCAAAGTTAGAAGAGGAGGTTAGAGGCAAAAATGTAGGAAGGAAGGACTTGGAAAATGAAGCTGGATCTGGGAATGATATAGATGAGCAAGAAAATGAAAAAATGATCAAGGAGAGTGTTGGAAGAGAAATAATATTAGAGGAAGAGCATCCCGACGTGGAGAAAGGGACTGCTGATTTTGTGACACCTGAAAAGCATGATGTAGATACAAATGAATCCACTCAAGGTATGTAAAAATGAATTCAAAGTTAAGTTTTACATCTTTATATCCAAATGAAACAAATTTTCCACTTCTAATTGTTGTTATTTGCAACATATAGGGGACGTTGTAGAAATCGATGAGGCGGGATCCGATCCATCGAAAGGATGAGGGTATCGTCGGAAGAGAAAAGTGCGCTTACTGAGTTCTCCGTACACTGACCCGACGAAGAGGAGAAAGTTGTAGGACATCAATGTATACAATCCTTATCAAGAAGTAGATCCCAGCAAGGTTAAGGCTTTTTGCAAATGGATAGAAACTACATCTTTGTGGTAAATTATTACATATAGTTGTAAGTACATGTGAAAGTAATGACAGTATTACCTAAATATAACTTCGTGTTGATTTTGTTGTATGTACAGCCAAATTATACCTTTGCGCTTCTATGATGTTCAAGCAAAAAGTTTGATGGATCTTTCGAAAGAGGATGGTTGGATTAATGACAGTGTAAGTAATCCAACTTTAATGATTTTACGATAATGTCACAAAAGAATTCAGTTTGAATTTATTAGTTTATTTTTGTAGATTATGAACGAGGCCCTATATCAGATACGAAAAAGGGCTTCCAGATTTCCCAATTTGTTTCGGCAAGAATGTTGCATATTGGACACTTATTTCTATCAATTTGTTGTCAATGCATATGGCCAATTACAGTCCAGTAAAGAGCTCAAATGTAGTAAGAGTCTAATGAATTCTGTGAGAAGGGCTACTACGGAGCTCGGTAAACCTTGGAAGGACTGTAAATATTTGTATCTTCCTTGTTGGTCCCGCGACCATTGGTTTGCAGTTCAAGTTGACATGGAGGAACGGGCCATTTTAATGTTTGATAGTCTGAAGGGTCACATTCGCCAGGCAGCGTTGGAAGCTTACCTTTTGCCTCTACAGGTGCTTATTCCGTTGATAATAAAATCTCATGTCACCAGTGAAAGCAAATATAGTACGGAGAACTTCAAAGTTATGAACGTAAAAGATATTCCCCAACAAGTGAACGGGTAAGAATAACTAATTTCATAATTAGTAGTACCATATTATCTTGAGTGTTGAAAATTAATACAAAAATTTTACAACTTTTTTGTAGATCCGATTGTGGAATATTCGCTATTAAATTCATAGAATTTCTGCACGCAAATATGGACGTAAATACAATTCGATCGGATTACATACCAGTATGGAAAAAGAAACTGGTTGCAGAGTTGTTGGCTTGGGATTTTGAGCCGTAGATTGTGCTTTGCTCGTATTTTTTTATATTTTTATAACATTATGTAGTCACTTGGTAGATTTGATTTTGGAGTAGCATCTATTTTGGAGTTTGAATACAATTTCAATGTACATATTTTCCATTGTCTTCTATAACTTTAAAGCTTAGATATTGTCCATTTCAGGTTGTTGAGTTTTACATGTACAAGCCTACATGTTTTCCATTGTCTTCCATTGTCATATCGTTGCAATGTAAAATGCACACTGCTATCCTTATTTGCATAACGACTTAGAACTCGCGATGACCACACATAATGACTCCGAAGTCATTTCAGTTAAAATTGATGCTAAAACAATTTAAAACTCGTTCCTGAGATAAAAAAAACAACATGCATATCGTTGCAATGTTAAATACACACTGCTTCTCTAATTTTGTGTAACGACTTAGACATCGTTATGACCACACGTAACGACTTCTAAGTCGTTTCAGTTAGAATTATTACTAAAACGATTTCGACCTCATTCCCAAGACACAAAACGACATGAATATCGTTCCAACATTAAATACACTGCTTCTCTGATCTTGAGTAATGACTTAGAAATCGTTATAACCTCACATAACGACTTATAAGTCGTTTCAGTTAAAATTGAAACTAAAACGATTTCTACATCCTTTTCGAGACACAAAACGACAATAATATCGTTTCAATGTTAAATACACACTGCTTCTCTGATTTTGCGTAACGACTTAGAACTCGTTATAAACATAAATAACGACTTCAAAGTTGTTTCAATTAAAATTTGTAGTAAAACGATTTCTACATCATTTTCGAGACACAAAACGACATTCATATCGTTTCAATGTTAAATACACACTGCTTCTCTGATTTTGCGTAATGACTTAGAACCCATTATAAACATAAATAACGACTTAAAAGTCGTTTCAGTTAAAATTGATACTAAAACGATTTCTACATCATTTTCGAGACACAAAACGAACTTCATATCGTTTCAATGTTAAATACATAATGCTTATCTAATTTTGCGTAACGACTTAGAACTCGTTATGAACATAAATAACGACTTAAAAGTCGTTTCAATTAAAATGGATAATAACACGATTTCTACCTCGTTTCTGGGACACAAAACGACATTGTTAAATACACATTGCTTCTCTGATTTTGCGTAACGACTTAGAACTCGTTATGAACATAAATAACGACTTAAAAGTCATTTCAGTTAAAATTGATACTAAAACGATTTCTACCTCGTTTCAGGGGCACAAAACGACATTAATATCGTTTCAATGTTAAATACACAATGCCTCTTCAATTTTGAGTAACGACTTAGATATCATTATAGGCATACATAACGACTTCTAAGTCGCGTCAGTTAAAATTGATACTAAAACGATTTCTAACTCGTTTCTGGGACAAAAAACGACATTAATATCGTTTCAATGTTAAATACACACTACTTCTCTGATTTTGAGAAACGACTTAGACCTCGTTATGATAAAAAATAACGACTTAGAAGTCGTTTCAGGTAAAATTAGTACTAAAACGATTTCAAACGCGTTCCTGAGACACAGAACGACATGAATATTGTTTCAATGTTAAATACATACTGTTTCTCTGATTATCGTTTCTTCTTGTTCAGAACGACATTGATATTGTCCTAGCGTAATTGTTCCTAAAAGATGATCCATCTCGTTTCATTATAAACCGGTCGAGTTCGAAATCATTTCAACTGAAATTATAAGTGCAACGACATCGGTATCGCTTCTTCACAGTTGAAACGACATTAGTATCGTTATGCTTAAAAATGGTGTTTCAGCCATCCACGACCATCGGCATACGTCCCACCGTACGTATGACGATGAAAACGGGTCATCGAGTCGGCTCAATCTCACTCGAACGACGCTATGGTAACATTTGTTATTTCTCAGTTATCTTTTACACTCAGGTTGTTTTGATAGAAACAGGGCATCTTCGTTGGTTCTTTCGGGCCATTCGAGAGCTACCGGCCCACTTGATATGCTCTTTCGATCGTCATACACATTTCAGAGGTATTTGGAGCGATCAAGGAGGATCGAAACGTCGTTTTTAGGTATAACGACATTAATGTCATTTCAATTGTGAAGAAACGATATTGTTGTCGTTGTACTTGTTATTCCTGGTGAAACGATTTCGAACTCGTCAAATTTGTAAAGAAACGAGATGGACAACGTTACGTTATTTCACTACTTGGTACATAACGATATTTATATCGTTCCTTGTATAATTTTACGACTTCTAACTCGTTTCAATTTATATAACATCTACAATGACCTCAAAGTCGTTTCTTGAAGAACATAACGATATTTATATCGTTATACCTAGAAACGATGTTTCGACCGTCCTCGATCACTCCACATACCTCTTAAATGTGTATGACGATCGAAAGAGCGTAACAAGTGGGCTGATAGCTCTCGAATGGCCCGAAAGAACCAACAGAGATGCCCTGTTTCTATCGAAACAATCTGAGTGTGAAAGACAACTATAAAATAACAAACGTTACCATAGCGTCATTCGAGTGAGATTGAGCAGGCTCGATGACCTGTTTTCATCATCATACGTACGGTGGGACGTATGTCGGTGGCCGTGGTTGGTCGAAATGCCATTTTTAAGTATAACGATACTAATATCGTTTCAACTGTGAAGAAATGATACCGATGTCGTTGTACTTATTATTCCAGGTGAAACGACTTCGAACTCGTAGATTTGTAAAGAAACGAGATGGACAACGTTACGTTATTTCAGTACTTGGTACATAATGATATGTATGTCGTTCTTTGTGTAATTTTACGACTTCTAACTCGTTTCAGTTTATATAATATCTACAACGACCTCAAAGTCGTTTCTTCAAGAACATAACAATATTTATATCATTATACCTAGAAACGACGTTTCGACCCTCCTCGATCGCTGTACATACCTCCGAAATGTGTATGATGATCGAAAGAGCGTAACAAGTGGGCTGGTAGCTCGCGAATGGCCCGAAAGAGCAAACGGAGATGCCCTGTTTCCATGGAAACAATCTGAGTGTGAAAGACAACTATGAAATAACAAACGTTACCATAGCGTCGTTCGAGTGAGACTGAGCTAGCTCGATGACCCGTTTTCATCGTCATACGTACGGTGGGAGGTATGTCGGTGGTCGTGGATGGTCGAAACGTTATTTTTAAGCATAATGATACTAATGTCATTTCAACTGTGAAGAAACGATACTGATGTCGTTGCACTTATAATTTCAGCTAAAACGATTTCGAACTCGGCCGGTTTATAATGAAACGAGATGGATCAACTTTCAGGAACAATTACGCTAGAACAATATCAATGTCGTTCTGAACGAGAAGAAATGATAATCAGAGAAACAGTGTGTATTTAATATTGAAACGATATTCATGTCGTTCTGTGTCTCAAGAACGCGTTTGAAATCGTTTTAGTACTAATTTTACCTGAAACGACTTCTAAGTCGTTAGTTTTTGTCATAATGAGGTCTAAGTCGTTTCTAAAAATCAGAGAAGCAGTGTGTATTTAACATTGAAACGATATGAATGTTGTTTTGTGTCCCAGAAATGAGTTAGAAATCGTTTTAGTATCAATTTTAACTAACTCGACTTAGAAGTCGTTATGTGTGCCTTTAACGATATCTAAGTCATTACTCAAAATCGGAGAGGCAGTGTGTATTTAACATTGAAACGATATGAATGTCGTTTTGTGTCCCAAAAACGAGGTCGAAATCGTTTTAGTATCAATTTTAACTGAAACGACTTTTAAGTCGTTATTTATGTTCATAACGAGTTCTAAGTCGTTACGCAAAATTAGAGAAGCAGTGTGTATTTAACATTGAAACGATATGAATGTCATTTTGTGTCCCAGAAACGAGGTAGAAATCGTTTTAGTATTAATTTTAACTGAAATGACTTTTAAGTCGTTATTTATGTTCATAACGAATTCTAAGTCGTTACAAAAAATCAGAGAAGCAGTGTGTATTTAACATTGAAACGATATGAATGTTGTTTTGTGTCTCAGAAACGATTTATAACTCGTTATGTTAATCTGTACATTTTTTGAACTGGAACGACATTCATGTTTACTGTAACGACATGAACGTAGTTTGCATTTCCTGTGAGAAAATAGGAACATGAATACCTAAAATACTAAAATTTGATTCCAACGGTACAAAAATATTTCAATAACACAATGAGTACAAAATCTAATAAGTGATTTCATTCAGTTGATATAATAAGTACGAAGTCGTACAGTTACAAAACAGGATAGTGTTATAACATTAATGTTCACTACTAGCTGCTTGGCCCGTGCAAGTGGATCGAACATGACCAATTTTCTTACACCTGCTGCACTTATGAGCCACATGCGTCTCTCTGGCCGACCTTTTCCTCTTTTTTGATGGTCGTTCACCCTGTCTTCGTACCAATGGTGGAAATACTTCTCTCGCTATCACATTCTTAGAAATTTGCCATTCGACCTCATTTGGCAAAGGATATACGAATTTAGAATAAGCTTGCTTCCAACAAATACTAGTGTAAAAGGGGATACATAATTTATAGCCCTCGTCTCCTTTAAACATTGCTGCAGCAATTGCATGCGCACATGGAAACTTGTCCAAATCAAATCTTCTACACGTACATGTCATTTCGTAAAAATCCACAAAGTGGTGTTCTAAATTGTCACCAACTTGATAAATGTCCGGAGAAACCTGATTTACCTCCAACCCATTTGACTCATTATATGTCATGCACATCTTTTTCTCTAATGCTGGCGTGAGTTGGGTCACACATTTTTCTGCTTCAACATGTCTTTCATAAAACCACCTTTGTAGTATCCCACGAATATATTCTAGTAAACCAACTATTGGAAATTCTCGAGCACTCTTCAACAAACCATTTATAGATTCCGCATTATTTGTAGTCATGATATTGTAATGTACCCCGGTAAAATGCACTCTAGCCCAACGT